TGAAATTAATTAAGAAATAAATTTTCTAGTATAGATAGAGTGATTAACTATCACAATCCAAAGGTTGCTCTGAAAAATATTTAAAAAATTGCCAACCATTTTGCCAGTTTAAATTTTTTTGCCACTTCAAAGTATTTATTGCCACCAGTTTTACTTACTAATTAATGCAGGTGCTGGTAGCCTTATCAGTTTGGCATCTGGAAAGCAAAAGTAACATATTAAGCTGTCACTTAGAAATAGGAATAATTTTTCAATAATATTTTAATGAATAATTCCAAATAACACATTTGATCACAATGCTTAACCCGTAAGGCGTTGTGCAAAAAAAAAAAATTCATTGGTCACTCACGCTTGTTTCAATTGGGTTTTTAAAAAGGACATAAAAAAATATAAGAATCATTGTTTCAGATTACTTGATATTTTTATAATAAAGAAAATATCTAAAATTTGTTTTAACATAAAAATTATTTAAAAGGAAACATATTAAACATCAACATTAAATTTTATTTAACAAAGTATGAAAGTTTTTGCGTTTTTAAATTTGATTTTTTAAAAAGACAAAAAACTTCACTGAGTGTGTTGTATGAAAATATCACACTCAGTGAAGTTTTTTGTCACAGAAGAAACTCTAATGAATTAAACATTTGTGTGAAACACAATAAAATACTATTTCACAACATTTGTGTGATAGTAAGCTTAATATATGATATTCAAAATTTAATTTAGTCATCATCAGACTCAAAGCACTTTCAGTTGCATACTGGACACACGTTACAGTGGTATGTTCTTTGCAAATGAAGTGATGACAAATGTGACACTTCATCTCCAATTTTGTCTCCAAGCTGCATTGTCCTGGTCCTTCATCTCCTTGACCTCTTCTTCCAGTCCCAACATTTGTCTAATATTTCTTTTTAGTTGTGGAAGCCTGGCAGATGATTGTGTTCTATCAAATAATTACAGCATAGTTCCTTTGCTAATTCTTTTGAGATAGTTCTGCCTAAGTATGTTGAACCCTCCTTTCTGATTTGTAAAAAATAAAGCTGTTTAACCTGCGGCTACCATCTCATGGTCCGTGATGGTAGGGGAACTCTAGAAGTTCCCCGAGAATCCCGGACTGAAAAATGAGAACAAAAGTTTTTTCCCGCAGAGGATTCTGGGTATTGTTACTTCTTCTTGTTGGGTGATCGCTGCCATGAGCACGTTAGCTCTCTCTAAAGTGTACTCGTAAGATTGTTGTGAATAAATATTGTTTTAGTTTAAAATGTGGTCGTGAACTTAACTAATTCACGTTTACCGCCTTCTGATAAAGACACTTTTTGTAAAGATCAAAATGGATGGAGAAAGACGGCCAGGTTTCGTCTAACTTACAGCGGCCATCCATTACCTCCAAACCCAATAACATTCAAAAGGGTAAAAAACAAAGTAAGCAGTCAACAGTTACTGGTTCTTGATACCAAGTATCTTGCCATATACTCATCAACTACATTAACTTCTCCTTTTGTGGAGTTATAAACTGCAAAAATAAATGGCTTTTTAGCATTTCCTGATTCTGGATAAATTTCATCAGTGCTATGCATTGTAGAAATAAGTTGAACAACTTTATTTTTTGGAGAGGTGTAAACTACTAAAGTCATTCTGTCTCTAAAAGCAAATATACTTGAGTGTATTGAGAGAAGTTTTGTGTTTGTAAACTCAGGCAGAATCTCTCTCATGTTTTTCCGTAAGGTTCCAACTAATATCAACTTGTGATCGTTTAGAAGGCATTTAGCTAACAGTATAGAAGTATACCAATCAGTGGCCACATTCCTTCCAGTACCACTTATCAGCTGAACAAGTCTAGACTCTACAACTAGTCCTGAATTTTCTACTCTAAAAGAGCCCTATGGCTGCTGTCCCACATACACTTCCATGTTCATGGTATAAAAAGTCTTTGCACAAGTCATGGCAAATATCTTAATACAGTAGAGCCTCGAAAACTTGGCCTAATGTGAACCGAAGGGTGGCCGAGTTTGTGAAAATGCCGGGTTATCGGGAATGGGGTTAAAAAAGGATAAGTATGTGTGTTTCCTCAGAAAATATTGTACTGTACTTGTATGTATTGTTTGCTTGAGAATACAACAGAGAATAAACTGCCCAAATACCCTTAAACAAAGGAAAAGTATGTCCTTTATGAAGGCATAAAGCCTTTACTACATGAAAATGAAAATTAATGAATACACTGTGTACAGTAATTTACCTGATAAGACAGACCTCAGAAAAATACTTTACGAGAGCTTTTATACTTTTATAAAGCTGTCTATAATGAAAATTAATTAACTAAGGATTTTTTTGCCCTGCCAAGGTGTGGCCGAGTTATCCAGAGTGCCGGGTTATCGAGTGCTGAGTTTTTGAGGCTCTACTGTACCATACTTTGCTGGTTTATTTTTTATGTATTATCTAAAACTGCAATTACCTCTGAATGATTTAAGCATCTCATCAATTGTGAGGAATTCACTTACAGCAAAGTTAGCTTTACACTTTTCCACAATGTTAGACCACACATCATGTATTAGAGCAAGCTTGTTGAAGTTTTGTTGCTATATCCTAGTATCAGCATCATCAAATCTTACAGATCTAATCAGAAACTTGAACCTTTATATATTCATGCAGTTACAAAAGAATTCCACCCCAGTTCCATCATTTCACCACAAATCATATAAATTCAGATGCAAAGCTCTAACAAGGGAACTGTCGGAGTGTCTTCTAATAAATTTTAATAAAATTTAGTTAATAACTACGTTAAAAGTATACAAACTCTATTTTAAATTTGTAGCATTCACTAAAAGTATTGATCAGAGTTATTAGCAATCAAATGTTGCACTACTTTATAGTAGTTTAACACAGTTATGCAAATTTTTAGAAGTGAAAGGGTCGCAGAGGAAGACGGTGATATTACATTTAGAATAAATTCTGGAATTTTCAAAAATGGTTGAAGAATTAATAAAATTTTGTATACTTTTAACATAATTATTAACTAAATTTTATTAATTCTTCTCCTATTTTTGAAAATTTCAGAATTTATTCTAAATGTAATATCGCCGTCTTCCTCCGCGACCCTTTCACTTCTAAAAATTTGCATAACTGTGTTAAACTACTATAAAGTAGTGCAACATTTGATTGCTAATAACTCTGATCAATACTTTTAGTGAATGCTACAAATTTAAAATAGAGTTTGTATACTTTTAACGTAGTTATTAACTAAATTTTATTAAAATTTATTAGAAGACACTCCGACAGTTCCCTTGTAAGAATTCCTGACATTTAGAGAAGACCAAAAAAGCCTCCATTTCACTCCTTGACATATCACACACATCTCATTCCTGGGTATAGTTTAAACCAGGGGTCGCCCAAACTTTCCACAGCGGGCCAGATAACTGAGAGAATGACGAGCATGGGCCACATGACCATTTTGTTCAATTCAGTACATTGAATACACAAAAAATAAAGACAACCAACATCTTTATTTAGCAATCGCTGCAGCAAGCTCTTAATCACGTTTCTTAGAAACTTCATTACACAAAAATGCTCTGATATCCAAAGTCGCAAAAAGTAGCCAAATTTTTTATTTCACTGGTTTCTTTAAAAATTATATTATTGTCGGATGCAAAAATCAGATTAAACCAATTTTGGCATTTTTACTTACACTTATTTTAATCTTTTCTACATAGTAAGTTTATCTACAATCTATGATATTTCCATACAAATTATTACATTTTAGCTCATTTGTGACACTGTGCCAGCAGGCCACAGTTTAATGGCCACTGGTTTAAACATATTTTTTGAATATGTTGATTTCTATATTTCACGATGTCACCCAAAATTTAATTTGTAAAAAAGTAACCAAGCAGAAACAGGTGAATTCATATCTTTATGTGCTTTCACACCAAGAAGGTATCTCGAAACTATTTTTTGTGACGTCTTCAATAGCTTTCATTTATGTGGCTTACACTCTACTGTTTATTGAAATTTGCATTTCTTCAACTTTTCTTTCATTTTATGAAATGTAAGTCTAAGTAAAACATCAAAAAAGTAAGATTAAGAAAGCCATATTATGCCCTTCTTGATCAGATATTTCCTAATCAGGTATACCAATGAAAAGCAAGGAAGAAGTTTCAGCAACAAAATACCTTAAAAGACATCAGCATAAATGGCATTCAAGATTGCTTTGACAAATGATATGACACTAACAGAAGTATGTAGCTGCACAATATGCTTATTTTGAAGGTGATCTCAAGTAAATACTTGTAGTATTAATATAATAAAAGTTCAGTTTATTTTTTTTATTCTATCATGTATAGTGAATAATGAATAAAACTAAAAATCTGAAATCTATTTTTGATTCAATTTTATCAATAATAATAATAACTCTCCCTTGATAACCACCTGATTGTGGCGGGACAGCCCAGTAATTTTACTGAACCATAGAGCAATGCCAGCTGAAGCACAAGCTCCTGGTAGGGACACCCATGCCAGTAAGATCTATGGGGAGAAATGAAGCTAAGAGTGACCACACCCACATTCTGTGGAAATAATTATCACGGTAGTAACCAGATCAAAGTGTGATAACAACACGGATGTCACCCGGGTTAAGAAGGTCCGCATTCATGGGTTAGGCAGAGGCTCACGTTCGAAAAATAGGCCACAGTCTCCCTTGGTTACTGGAGGCAAAAGCAGCATCGGCCCAAGCATGGGTACTGCAATGCCCTCAACAAATGTGAGGAATCAACCTAACCTTGGTGTTTCTGTGGCAATGCATCCGCAGACCACAAAGGCTGGAAAACCACGCCAACAGATGAAATGGACAACAGAAATGAACGAGTTTATCATCCGTACTTACTACGCAATCACAAAACTTGAAACAAACATAACAGCATACAGACAACAACTACACCATAGATTCACACAACAATATCCTCAACTCACTGTCACTGAACAAAAGGTTGTTGATCAAAAAAGATCAATTATATACAACAACCTTATCCCACAAACACTTGAACTTATCAAACAACAGGTTGCTGATCAAATACATCAACAGGTAGAAACATTTAACATTAATGAAGATCACGTAACCTGTCAGGATAATCCAGCAACAAGCATTGATAATAGTACACATACAACAACTACCATTAATGATACTACAGACACTTCCTCATCCATC